TATGATTTTGTACTAAAAGGTAGCTGAAAATATTCACTATTTGTCAATTGTATATTACTATGCTTTGTAGGTAATCCTTCATTTTTATACGCTCCTCAATTTTTAATTTTTTATTACTTACTGTATAAAAAGAGATAATAATAGATAATACATTAATGTGTAATGAAAATTGATTTGATCTGTGATCCTACTGTATAGTGGTTTAAATTTTACAGTTAATTGTTTTACAGTTTAAGTTAATTGTATATATTTATATACATTTTGTTTGACCTCTTCCGAAGATCTTCTGAAAAGACTTCAGAATTTAGAATAATTTTAAAAAAAGACCGGCAAGATGGCGACTTATGCGGATGATACTTTCGGTCATTCTTACGTTTTAAAATCGGTAGGACGATTGTTAACGCCCAAGAAGCTTCATTTTTATTTGTTGTCTTCGGCTCACCAAGGTTCACCTCCGGAGGCCCTGTTTAAATCGCTGAGGTCGGTATCGTTTTTATTTTGGCAAGTGATAACGCCGGTAGCTTCGGCTTTTGCATGGGAGCAAGTCAGTCGCTCGCTTGCTTGGGTCAGCACAATACGCACCGCCTACACAATCGATTATCGAACCAAAAATCGATGCACAATCGATTTCGTCATCATCACCGTGTCGTCACATCACCGACTTTACCGACCACTACGTGCATCGTCATCTGGCTCTACCGGCGCCTTCTGTCGGCGTCGAACCCAGCAGTAACCTCCTGCTCAGTACCGCTTATTTTGATTATTTGGAAAAGCGACCCGTCATCCAGCAAAGTACCTTTTTCATTTCGTCATTTTATTTTAATTTTTTTGTAAAATCCTAGCCAGTATAGTTGATTAGGAATTTTGAATATAATGAGGACATTTCAGTTTAATAATTTTTTTCTTTGTGTAAATAAATTGTAAATATTTAATTTTGACCCTTAAGTATAATCAATTTTCTCTTTTTTCTCAATAACCTATTAAGTACATATACAGTAGTTGCCACCTATTAAAAACAAAATTTAATTGTATACCCCTTGAAACGGGTACGGAGGTTTGCGGGTCATTAAGAACCGCCCTCCCAAACACCGATATATAAAACGAAAGTTGCATTAAGATCAGTTATTCAAGACCTTACAAAGTTATTCAATGACATGAAAAATGAGATTAATCAACAAAAGCGTTCTACAATAACGCCTACTCTTACCTACGCGGATAAACTAAAAATGGTGAGTTCTCAAACTCCAGTATTTAAAGCATCAATAAAAGCGAAGGTCAGTGATTTAAATAACCTTTAGTTGGAATCCACTTAAAAGTAAAATTAACTGGAGCAACCTTTGTGGCGAAATTAGGAAGATGGTTACAGTTTCAAATTCCTGCGTTTTTGTACAAACTGATACGGCAAGAAGATGTAACCAAAGTATGCTCAGAAATTAACAAGCGTTGCATAAACGAGTTTTCAGCTGAAATTGCAAAAAATACAACCTCAGATTAATTGTTCTTAATATTCCTAGGTAATGAACAAAGACTTGAGATTTTTAAACAGCAAAATTCGTAAATATGTCTATATGCGAATGTCTAGTAGAATGTATAACCATTATGTATGAAGCCTAAATCTAATAACAAGTTGGTTAAAAGAAATATGTTAACCCTTCTTTACGTACATTGATCATAATGAAAAGAATTAAACATGGAGTATTTACCATGCAAAATACCACATTTCGATTACCAGACGTTTCCAATGTTCTCGCATCAATCACCAGGCATCTGATTGCAAAAACACAACTACATTTCTCCAGGCAACATGGTTATAATGATTGCCCAAATAAAATCGACACATCGAAAGTCATAATTTCAACAAAGTTTAACTTTCTCATAGTTCTAAGTAGGCAGGCTTTGCTCTCTACTTAACACAGTAATCCCGACACGTGAAAAATTTATTTCGAAGGAAACTTTATAAAATATAACTCCATTGAAGGTTTCATTGGACCGAAATGTCTCTGAACCTGGAAGTAATGATTGTCAATGAAGATTCGCCATATGGCTCTAAGTTCGGCAACTTTGCCTTGAGAAACACCAAATATCGACTTACCTTCATGAGCCATTTATTCACTCGGAAAACTTTAAAAAACAGAACTCCAATGAGGATTCCGTTGAGCGCCCCTGGATCTTTATTTACTAAAAACAACAAAAAGGATAAGGTTTAAAAAAATACGAAGTTCGGCGTATTTAAAAAAAATTACTTTTTCCACAATTCTTTCTTTACGTCTTAATTTCGTTATCATAAGATAGCTCTGAATTCGACAATAGTTTTAGGAAATACGTAATCATGTTTGTCAGAGATTTATTTACGAAGAACTAGAGTAGCTTCATTGAAGTCCCTTGACATTTAAGTCAATATAGAGTTTGCACAAAGAAAAGCAGTTTTGCAAACATCGAGCACAATTTTCAACAAAAGGTTTTATTTATAAGCATACCTGACTTCTTCTTTAACTAGCCTTCTCTTTAATCTGTTCAAAACCCAATAAATAATGAAATATGTTTGATCTTCTTCTAGCTGCAAAAATAGAAAAAAAGCGAACGAAAAGTTCGGTAATAAAGTAAGAGTTTCAATATTTTGGCAAGCGTCGTTTTTTTATTTATTGCTAAAATTCCTGTTCCCAATTTCTGAATAAGATAAAGTGAATAATATCGCAGTCGGTCGTATTACAAAGTCTTTGTTTAAGGATGTTTTTGTTAATATTTATTATTTGCTTGGGTTTAAAAAAATTATAGTTAGGTTTCCGATTTTTAAAATTTCGGTGTCGGTCTTACCTCACTGTATTGTTATGTCAAATGCGATCGCTTTAGTGTCTTGAAAATGAATTCAATTTTAGGAAATATTTTTTCTATATATATGGCGAGAAGATAAAAGAGTGGCTGGCATACTAAAACACCGAGAATAGTTTGACCCAAACTAAAAAAGAAAATTCTGCGCTTAATTGGTATCATTGTTTTTACCAATAAATATTTGTTTATGCTATGTTTTAAATTGGGAATATCAATTACAGGTAAACACATTTAATCCTTAATCCAAAAGAAGGATAAAGGATTTTTCAATGTTTACTTTTTACGTTATTTAGAATTAAATTCACTAATTTCGTGGTCCGCTTGACCAATTAATATATTACAATTAATTAAGGTTTTTAGTTGAGATAAAAAAGTCAATGGCACGAGCGGGATTCGAACGCACGATCTTCGGCTTGATACGCCGCTGCTCTACCACTTGAGCTATCGTGACCTCGATCCACTCGGACACCAACTTCCCATCTCAACCGCAAGATGGACGTTTCATCAGGTATGCGGCTGCCATTTCCTGCCAACGCTGCAAGACGCGGTTAGACGTTTTCAAGAAACTGAGTCCTATCATCGAAGGTCCGGTTCTGGACGGCCTGGAGTAACAGAACCTCAGGATGATCGTTTTTTGACTTTTAGAAACCGGCACCTTACTGTTGTTCAAGCGATTCCAGGAAGTTCGAGGTGTCCAAATTTCTGAACGCACTGCTCGAAGAAGATTAAGTTAATATGGCCTGATGCCTTTTCGCCCCGTAAGAGGACCAGAATCGACCAGAACACACAGAGTTGCAAGGCTCGCATTTGCTCGAGAACATAGCCATTGGTCTGTTATAGTTTTTACAGATGAATCTAGATTTGCAATACGATCTCCAGATGGGCGAGAATGTGGGTGGGAATTCCAACGGAAATTCGCACAGAGTTGGTTGTAGTTCGTAGAGGGTCTTTGACGGCCACTTGCTATGTGGAAGAAATTTTGGAACATGATGCGTTGCCTCTTCTCTGAAATCAGCGACAATCCTATTCTAATGCACGATAAGTCCTGTCCACATGTCGCTCCCATTGCACAAACGTACCTTCAACAGTATAACATCAGGGTCTTAGCCTGCCCAGTCCGTTCTCCAGGCTTGAAGCCCATCAAACGTTTTTTTGTGAGAACCTCAAAAGATGACAAAGAGAAGGTCCATCACTTCCTGATACACTCCATGATCTTGTACGGACTCTTCGTGAAGAATGAGCTAACCTCCAGCAAAGAGACATCTCCAGTCTGGTAGAAAGTATGCCGAGCCGTATTCGAGATGTAATTAAGGCAAGAGGATGAATTATGAGATATTGAAATGTTAATTAAAAATCTAAAACAAAATTAAAACAAATTTTATCTTTTTTTTTGGATTTTCTTTAGACATTTATATTTGTTTTTACTTTTTTAGACAAAGAATCAATTATTAAACGTTAAAAACGTGAAACTCTGATTAATTTATAAAAATATATACAAATCACGTTATACTACAATTGTGTGGGATTTTCTGCCTGTCAGGGTATAAAGTATGACAAAAAATATACATCAGCCGGAGAGTAGTACATACTTTTTGTAATAGTGTATAGAATACAGTACAAAACTTACACAAACGAACCAATATTCTATACGAAAAATTACATTTATAATAATAAAATAATTTAAAAAAATACAAAAATTAATAATTGAATTGATTAACTAATGAATATGTATATAATGCCAGGCGAACGGGCATGGTTTACAAGATTCAAACTTACTATTTTGTTAGGAGGTAATTCATTATTCTCAATTCTGCTAGTGCAATAGTCATAGTCAAAAAATAAACCACTATCGGAAACTCCAAACTACAGGTTCAACACTCCTCATGCTCCAAGTTAAATTTAAGAAAAAATATTTTCTATTTGTGATGTTGCTTTTTACCAATCGCTGGTTGAGTGGGACGTGTTACGCCTCAACGCCATTCCCAATCAAATTTATTAACCCTAATCGAGTTAAATCCGGCCGATTGGATAGAAAGACTTTTCCAAAGAAAGAGAAAAGTCGCAGACGGTCTGTCCATAAGGTGAGCTATCTAGGAATGTTGAGAGTTCGAGTGTGGCCGAGCGAAGCCGAAAGGGACCGAGCCGTTTTTCGGGCCACACTCGTCGGCGCCTCCGCCTCCTCTCCAGTCGCTCGCCGAGCCTCTCCAGTGCAACCCGATCCTCACGGATTCCAATCGCCGACGGACTTTCGTCTTTTGTGATATTTTCTCCAACGCTTTCGACCTATGGGGAGGAAATCAATCGCGCATTTATGAATAGATGGTGTGATATTCGTGTTGTGATAAGTTTAAAATGAGGCGTTTTTCTCTGATCGTCCAAGGAGCGATTTTTCTGGCGGTGTGTCAACAGCTAGGCCTCTTCGCCCTCATCCAAGGGGCGGAATACTCGAACCACTGGGCCACATACTACGAAAAACCCTGCTGCAACAGCCAAAGACACGTCCGACACCACAAAGGTAAAGAAAGCTCGAGACCACCCACATGGAGCGCGGTACTTCCGACATTTTGACCGAACCAACTACTTTTAGTTTCTGGTTTATACTATAGAAAACAAAAGACGTTCCCATGCCGTTTTCAGCCGAGCGTGACAGCAGACGATGCCGCGAATCCAAATCCCGATCGCGTCCAGAAGAACCTGTTCGAACAAAGAGCCGGGATGGAAACCGGTCCTTTCACCCCGACTATCCGTCTAACTACTAGTTGTTATTTACAAAACCGCAATAAGCACTCAATACAACCGGTTGTTTGTTTATGGCAGATGTTTACAACTTAATTATTTTACTCCATGGAATCCTTCCTTGCCGGTGTTAAACAGAGTTTTTACTTACTGATAGCGTTCGTTTTAAATTTTACTGTCGGAACGACATTCGGTTTATACCCACTTTCCTATTTGTTATCCGACTTTTTTATTTTTTTTATTCAGAAATGACCCAAAACAAATCACTTTCGAATAATAAACAAACAACCAGAGGAATTGTCAGTCTGCAATGTATCTCTAGAAAATATATAGATAAATTCCACAATAGAAAGAACAACTGGATGGACACATTTTTGCTCTTATCACGTTCCAATGGTACGGCATCCAAGCCGTATTTGTATAGTTTCTTTGTACTTCTTACTTGCAGAATAAACTCGAAATCAGGCGAGCCCGTGAAGCATGGCTGTCATCCGTTTTGCAGCTATCAATCCTATCGTTCTGACTCAGTCCAAACTCCGATTATGTTCAAATAGGATACTAGAACGTTTATTAAATATATTTCCTAGTGACGGAATAATTATCGGTTGTTTGTAAAAAAAAGACATCTCAAGATTTAATTGTTTATAATACAAAGAAAGAATAATATTTACTGACGGAAACTTTCTTATGCTTTGGTTACATCGTTATTCCCACAAATATACCGAAAAACAAAGATAAGACACGACGAAAGCCGGAATGGATTGCAACATGCAGTTTCATTTGGCCGTTTCACTGGCAAATGTATTTAACATTTAGCGACAAATTGGCCTGTCTAAATGCAAACATGAATATAATTCTCTTTCGAAAAGCTGGCCATGAAGATGATAAATTAGTCAAATGAAAGACAGTAGAAACAATGTTTTATGTAAAGATATGGTGAAGATAAATAGTACAAAAAGCTAGGTATTATGTCACAAACATACAAGCTATATAATTATTTACAATGTGTCAAATAATTTTCTGGCAAAACAAGGAATCATCATTTTACATAATTACGTACAAATATGTTCATCTAGTATGGTATTTTTTTCATAGAGCATTTCTAAAAGTATAAAACGTTCGAAATAATTATTTTTGAATACAAAATTTGATTACTTCAAATGATCAGCATTATTTATTCTGAACATTTCTAAAATATATAATTTTAATTATATACAAATGTTTAAATTTTAGAATATTGCGCAATTGACATTTCTACGTTTGGTGTGTTAAGATTCATGGAAATTAAGAAAATTTTATGTTTAACCTGATATACTGTATCTTCTGTTTGGATACTGCTCGTATCTGCTATTATCGCCATGGAAGAAATTATAATTTTTAATTCATTAAGTCGATTCGTATTGCATGACAGCCGACAAATTCCGTTGTACGATTTGTTTGGCTGATTTTAATTTTACATTTAATCCAGTTGAAATATTTGTACGGTATAAATTGTCTGGCGATAATTTATTGGATTTGAGGCCGAGGTACCTGTTGATGTAAATCCGCGAAGTGTGTTTCAGCCGGTCGCAGTCCCTCAGCGGCCTTCCACTAACTCCTTGTTATGACACTTAGCGGATAAGCTTTTTAAGCTTTTCCACTTCAACTTGTCGCCCCGGCACCTTCTCCCCCTAAATCAAAATAGGACCGGGAGGGAATAACGGAACTACTGTACTAAAACATCTGTCGGCTGAGGGATGGGCCCTGTTCCTATTGTTCGAATCGCCGGGACCTGGCCTTTATATTGTTGTCCCCCGGCGGAATTTACAGCCCAACTTGTAAGGTGCACCTACGAAAGTGTCACTGGAAGGGCATCAATTACAAGTACTGACAGTTTTTTCCCTACTAGAATATTGTATATTTCGTGGACAACTCTGAATTTGTTTATAAAATTCGAGAATGGTAAATAAGCAGGCAATACAAATAAACGTTCTACCATAACAAAAGTTTATCGCTTAAATAGAATAAAAAGATCGGATGTGTAATATAAGTGATCGTCCTTTATAATGATGTTTCCCATAATAATTTAGCCGTTCCTTGATTTGCCGAATCCTTTTTTCCTAAACGACTCAATGATCTGAAAAATATCAGATATTTTAACCACGTCTTCTTGCCTAAAAAATTACTTTTTGATGAGAGCACTTTGACCAATTGAAACGATTCTTGTAAATTTCCTGAGATCAGGGATAATAATAGGGCTTATTTGAATTATAGGTTTTGTTTCTCGAGAATAATATATTTCATATGAGGCCATTTTAAAAAACATAAAATAATAACCGTAAACGGATTTAACGGATGTTAATGTTAACATTTTGCGTTTTTTCCTCTGCCGATCAAACCAACATATAAATCCATTTCTACAGAGTACAATCTAGAACTGGTGCAGATTGGTAATTATGATTTCTGTAAATAATTAGCATAAATAAATAATTTCTATAACCAGTGAGAAAGTTTTCCAAAAACCGCATTAAATACCATTTTTATAAATACGTTTTTGGTTTTCATATCCTCGCTGTTTTGGTCGGCCAGACGCGATTCGGCTTTTCGCAGTCTTCAGAGGGGTTACTGTCCATAATCAGAAGTTGAATTACGTCTTGACAGACCAAAACAGGAAGAGTAGAAATCCAAAATGGTCAGAGATTACTAAAATTTAGGTTCGTCAGACCTGAATAGAAAATCTCACAACTATACTCAAATTAGCTTACTATGATGCTATTTTTGTATTGATAGATTCTAATTTTCTTAATATTCTTACTTCGTTCAATTGTTCTTCTGGTTCAGCTTTATTTAAACAATAACAAATTATGTAGTAAACTAACCATAAAATATTGTGTACATAGAACTTACATCATTGCGCAGTTGCCATAGACATTTTGTTAAAAATATTTTGAATTGGTCTTTTTATACAGCTGGATGAATGTAATAATGAATAAAAAAGCCACCTATTTTCAATGTTAGTGATCAAAGAATGTTTATTTTAAAAAATCAACAATTACATTTTATTATATTGTTAAAGTTAGGTACCTTTTTATAATGTCAAGATTATATCCTAAAGCAAAAGCATTATTCACAGTTAACGTCTACAGAAAAAATACATATGGTTAGTTTTTAAATAATATAATACATTTTGGACCTGACCAAAATGCTCCATGATGGCATAATATTTTCAAAAATACTCATGATGGTTCCATAGTTAAGAATGTATGGTAGAAGAAAGACAACCAGTCTAAATTAGCTGGTTGATCCAATAGGATAATCTGTTAGTGAACCAGTCAGGCAGCTTTGAAAATTCATAATTAAAAAAGATTTAAAGCTCACACTTGACATACTGAATGCAAAACATCTCAAGCCAAGTTGAAGACTCTAAACAGATTTCAATTTTTTTTTAATACTGTTTCATGTTGTTACTCGACAGAGGAGTTGTAAAACGTTTTCGAGTATGAGTCAGGGAGTCAATACGGATCGACATTGCGTGCGAGGGGCTCCCGAAATTGTTGGTAATTGATAACGTAAAATGAACATTTTCATATCCCACCGCTTCCCACAGTTTCTGGTGATAAAATAGACCGGCAAATATTTATAGCGTTGTGACAAGCGTATAATCTCTGTTTGTTCTCATTAACTCTGACTTCGTACTATTTGTTAACCAAAGAAAATCGATTAATCTAATCTCTGCCGACTTTTGGACAATAAGACGTTATTTTCGTTTCTAATTTCGAAACAAAATTACAGATTTTTACCTGGGAACAATGAACATTATATTCTAATAAACAACCGATTTAGCAATCTGATTATCTTTTTCAACAAACTTTTCTTTATAAAATGCTTGACAAAAGATTTATTATTTAATTACAGCATCTTTCGACCTTCTGTAGTGAAACCGAATAATGAACGTTAAATGAGAATTGTAGAGTAACAAAATATATTTTTTTAATCGGTAAAAATATTTTCCACATGATTGAAGTAAATAGGCTAATTAACTTTGGCAAATTATAACTTTATAATTAACATGGGGGATTAAAGTGTTGATGTAATTAATTTCATAAATAGCAGCTCATATTTTCAATACTTTTTCTCCTTTATATTAAACATTCCAAGATAAGTGTATGAAAATATATAAAGTGAATAAAATATACACTGGTGCGCAAAAAAAGTGTCTTTTATAATGCAGGTATTTATTAACACATAGTGTGAAAATAAAAATATCTCTAAAAAACAAACAATTAATAAAACAAAGAAAACCACTTTTGTATATGAACATAAAACAGTATAAAAACAAAGATAAATTTTTTTTAATATGGTGTATTACGTTCTCTTGCATTTATTACACATTGAGAAGTCATCATGCTCATACGTAAGCCTTTAACCACTACTTGAGGAATTTCATCCCAAATGTCAAATAAAATAACTTTCAGCCCAGCTAAGATTATAGGAGGGTTATTTCCTCGTTTTACCCAACGTCCGAGCTCGTCCCAAAAAATTGTTCGCCAATAACAGGAGCAAATGGAACCACATATTCCTAAGAAATTCCACTTCACACTATGACTGAACCACCTCCGAACAACCCTCTTGTCGTAGTTGCATTGGCTGAAGAGCTCTACAGATGCTCGACGTCTGTCTGGCGAATGGAGAGAAAACCGGGACACGTCTGAAAGCTGAGTTTGCGGCTGTAGATCAGTTGGAACTTATTATGCTATGTTGTCGCACCTTGAATACAATGGAAATCTAAGTAACAAACGT